GTTCGTTTTATGTCAAAATTTTACTTTTGATACTTAAATATAAAATAAATCATTAATACTTTTTCTCAACAAATATTAAAATGAGAAGCTATATGAATTGTTGTTTCAGTTGTTTTTATTTTTATTTGTATTGTTTTAGAAATTATGTTTTGTTTGAATATATTCTGCAGACATTATGAGATTTATTCTTCTGCTACCTTTCATTTTATTTTGATTTTTGATTTGTGTAATTTGTTTTTATTGTGTGTATATAGTTATTTGTAATTAAATTAATATTTTTTTTGAATTGAAAAGATTGAATTGAATATTCTTAGAGCAGACTTTTAACGTTCAGTCATTTTATAAGATACTTGTACTTTTACTTGTGTATCTCTTTGAGGTTCTTTATTCGGCACTGCAGTCAATAAATGATGTAAACATCATAATGTGAAAATCTCTTGAAGATTTTGACAACGAACTTTAGCGACAGGGTTTTGCACAACGAGCTACTAGTGATGCCGGACCCATCACTAGTAGAAATGTTTCACTCCCTGACTGAGCGGCAGACAGAAATCCACTGCAAAGCTACGCTTCAAACAAAGTGTGAGAGAGGCAGAAATGTCTGCTCGTCACAAATATTACTGTTGTAGATGTTTGATGTAGATTTTTGAAGAATGGGAGTTTGACCTCTGACGTCTCGGGGTCACTGCAGTCCTGCAGCAGAGGCACACGGGGTTAAAAGTTAAACCTTTCTACAGCTCATACGTCAGCGTGACTTTGTTCATCTGAACATGCTGAGCTACAATCTTAAAGGGCCTGTGACATCAATTTTTTTAGATAAACATGAATGCGTTTTTGGAAAGATACCATAAAGAATATATTGCAAAACACATTTCACGTTGCTGAGATGAACAGTTGTTGAGATATTTGCATGTGATGAAACAGGAAGTGATGTCAAAGGGGAATGTCTGCATGTAAACAGAGCTTTGTTACAACAGCTGATAACAGACTGTAGAGAAGAATCTGTTTCTTTAGATTATTTTGAGTCTCTATCAGAGAGATGAAGAAGTTAAAGTTTAAATTACATTGTTTTAATAAACAAAAGACCAACGATTTTCTTTTATTAATGAGTTCCCCTTTGATGTCACTTCCTGTTTCACTTTGGCTGAGACATATTCAAAAGAAAATAGGCCAGTTATGCAACAAAATGGGTAAAATCATGTAGGGCAATTTTCTCAAGTATAAGGATGTTTTCTTTGAGTTTTGTAGTTGAAGTATAAGCATGTCACAGGCACTTTAAAGTCAGGGTGACTTTTTTATTTTTATTTTTCCCGCTCTCAGAGGAGTAAGACACTTTTTCCTTCTTTCCTGCCCTTCCTTGTGTTTCCCTGCTTTGCTGCTTGGTACCTTCTCTACATTTTTCATCCGAAACTAGAAATTATGGATATTTTTATGGACTTGGTTAGCTGGTCTCTCAATAAAACTTTTGGAATAAAGTTTTTTCTTCCATGGGAGGACATGTTAAAGGTGGGACCTCTGTTCTTCTCTGTTCTGGATATATGTCTGGACTCCGATCACTGGATTCTGCAGATTGGTTTGGTGGTCTCCTGGTGTTCTACAAAACAGCATCGGTGACTTTTCATCTCCTGGCTGGCTGACCAATTTGATGGACAGCTGTATTCTATCAGCACTCAGACATTTTGCCTTGAGCGAGCTGGACTCGGTCTGCAAGAGGTTGTATTTGTCATAGTCTGTATTTATTTTCCTTAGTTTTCCTAGTGTTTTCTATGTTCCCCAGTGTGTCTTTGCCCAACTGCCCCACATTTACCTTGATTGTCATCCTTGTGTTTCTCCCCAGGTGTTTTCTGTTTAGTAATTAGTTTTCTGTGTATTTAAGCCCTGTCCTGTCTCAGTCTTTTGTCGGATCATTGTTGTGTTTTGCTGTGTCTGTCCTGGTTCCTTGAGCTTTGTTCCCCTCGTGCTTGTGATCTACAGTATTTGTAAGTTTGCTGCCAGCAGCCCTCTTTTTGTTAATTATTAAACCTTTTTGTTACATTTTGAAATCCTGCCTGCGCCCTGGGTCTGTCTCATCACCAAACCCCTTCAGAATGATCCGACCAAGCACCCAGCCTGCAGGCAAAGGTTTTTCAAGTCTGCCCTTCCTAGAGGCAGATTTTTTTTCAACACCAGCCTCAGAAGAGCCGGTCCCGACTCTGCCGCCATGGGAGGATGAAGTAACCAGCCCTCAGATAGCTGGATCACTGATGATCCTCCGGTGGTCCTCCACCTATGGATCTAAACGAGTCCTCTGCCAGCAGATCGAGGATGTTTTGGCGAGGTGTCCCGATCTGCTGCTCCTGCCCGGCCACCGGAGGGTCAGTGATCATGCTCGGCGTCTGCTGGCTGAGCATTTAAACACCCACCCTCCCACCCCTTCTGAGTCTGCTGCTGCTGGGCCTTCTGAGTCTGCTGCTGCTGGGCCTTCTGAGTCTGCTGCTACTGGGCCTTCTGAGTCTGCTGCTACTGGGCCTTCTGAGTCTGCTGCTACTGGGCCTTCTGAGTCTGCTGCTACTGGGCCTTCTGAGTCTGCTGCTACTG